GCATGCTAAGCGTGGAGCGTTCGGACCTCGGCGCTTTCGGCCGCTCGCTGTCGGGCGACCCCCACACCGACGCCGCAGAGAGGAGCCGAGGAGGTGCCGCAGTCCTCTTCGAGCAGGGCCAGGGTGTCCTGGGAGCCGCTCCCTCTCGTCGTCGTCCCCCTCCTTCTCCTCCCATCATCACCACCACCACAACCACCATCACCATCACCACCACAACCACCATCACCATCACCATCACCATCACCATCACCATCACCATCACCATCACCATCACCATCACCATCACCATCACCATCACCATCACCATCACCATCATCATCATCATCAGCAGCAGCAGCAGCAGCATCAGCATCAGCACCAGCATCATCATCAGCATCAGCAACATCATTACCAGTATCATCATCATCATCATCATCATCATCATCATCATCATCATCATCATCATCATCATCATCATCATCATCATCGTCATCGTCATCGTCAACATCATCACTACCATAATCCGCCGACCCCTTGGGGTCACGGCGTGTGAGATGCTTTCCCCTCCCAAACCCCTCCCCCGGGGGCCTGGTCCGGCCTGTTTGGAGGGGGGCGGTGGGAGACAAATCCATCATCCGCACACTTGGAGCCTCAGGAGGCCCCAAAACGGGCCAAAAAGGTTCCAAAGGTTCCCAGAACGGCCCAAGAGAGCTACGAATCGACGAGAGATCGCCCCAAAACGCCAAAGATTGCCTCCACACAGCTCCATAATTCCCCAAGACGTTTGAAACAATATTACGAAGCGCCCCAAAGAGGCCCTCCAGAAGCACACTTCGTCCCATTTCCGATGGAAAACATACATTTTCACCACAATCGCCCATTCGGCTTCCACTCGGCGCAAAACGACCCAAGAAGCCTTCAAGATCGACCCTCGCCAGCCCAAGAGGCTCCCAACAGGGCTCCAAGACGGCGTCCTGGCGATCCACGAAGAGCAACCGTTTAGGAAAGCCGCAGGACGGTCCCAAGAGGGCTCCAAAACGGGCCAAGAGGGCTCCCAAAGGCTGCCCGGACGGCCCACGCGGGGGACGATTCGGTCCAAACCGGCCAAGATCGCCGCCAGACGGCCCCACGGGTGTCCAAGACGTTGGAAGACGCGACCACGAGGCGCTCCAAGAAGGCCTCCAAAAGCCAAAATCGTCCCATTCCCGGGGGAAAACGTACCTTTTCAGCACATTCGCTTCTGGGGCTTTCACGAGGCCCACAACGGCCCAATGAACCTCCAAGATCGACCCGTCACCCGACGAGGCTCCCGAGAGGGCTCTAAGACGGCGCCCGGGCGATGCACGGAGGCCCCAGAGACCATAGCAACGGCCCAGGAAGGCCGCAGGACGGCCCCAAGGGGGCTCCAACACGGGCCAAGAGGGCTCCCAAAGGCTGTCCGGACGGCCCACGCGGGAGACGCTTCGGTCCAAACCGCCCAGGATTGCCTCCAGACAGCCCCATGGGCGTCCAAGACGTTTGCATACGCGACCACGAGGCGCCCCAAGCAGGCCTCCAAAAGCAAAACCCGCCCCATTCCCTTGGAAAAGAAAACGTAGATTTCAGCATGCTCGCTTCTTGGGCTTCCAGGAGGCCCACAACGGCCCATTAAACCTCCAAGATCGACCTCTGGCACCCCAAGAAATTCTCCAAAAGGCTCCACGACGGCCTCCGGGCGCCCCACGAAGGCCCCAGAAACCATAACAACGGCCCGGGGAACGGCAGAACGGTCCTGACGTGTCTAGAGGGGCCTCACAGGCTGTCCGGACAGGCCACGCGGGGGACGATTGCTACCGCCCCAAGGGGTCGGCGGTGTGGCGTAAGCCAATGAATCCACGTCCGGAGGTGACGTGCTGAGCGGCAGCGTTTTTCGGCGAACGCCTTACTGCAACGTATCCAATTTATCCAAAGATTCCACAATTGCAACACATCGTATTATGTTACATTATTATGTCTCCCCCCCGAACCCCCCCTGGGAGCTGCGCCACGCCGCCGGACCAAAATGACGCCCCCCTGCTGGGGCCCTAAAAACTTACAAAAACCTATGGCAAATCAACGCATTCGGCCTCTTGGGCCTCTGGGGGCTCCAAGAGGGCCTCAAGATGGCCCAAGATGGCCCGAAGACGGCCCAAGACGGCCCCAAGACGGCCCAAGACGGCCCAAGATATTCCCAACGGGGACCCATGAGGCCCCCAAGACGGCCCCAAGACGGCCTCAAAAGCCCCAAGGACGGCCCAAAAGGGCCCCAAGAGCGCCTACAACTGCGCCTCCAGAGCCAGAAATCCTTATTTTCCCTTGGCTTCTGCAATCTTTTAGCGTTCGCGCCTTTTTCGATTCTCAAAAATCAATGACGGCCCAAGCAGCTTCCATAACCGCCCCAGAACAGCCCAAAAAACATCCAAGAGGGCCCCAAGACGGCCCAGGAGGGCCCCAAAACGGCCCAAAGAGGCCCCCAAAACGGTCCAAGAGGCCGCGGAGTCGGCCCAAGAGGACCCCAAGAGGGCTCCAATGCGGCCGCGAGAGGCCCCCAAGACAGCCTCCGAGGGGGCGGAACGGCGCAAAAGCGCCCCAAGACGGCCGAAGACGCCCCCAAGAGGCCCCAAGAGACCCCGAAAAAGCCTCCAAGAAGCCTCCCAGAAGCCTCCCAGAAGCCTCCAAAAGGCACCCAAAAAACCCTCCAAAGGCCACGCAGCGACTGGAGTGTAATGTTATTCCCCCCCCTCTGGGCGAACTGCGGCGCAGCGCCAGCCAGGTGGAAGTTGGTCACTGCGGCGCCCATGATTAGAGCCGGCGCTGGAAGGGAAGATGGGGAGGGTGTATGAAAAGGAGGGAGGGGGGAAAGGCCCCAAAGAAGTCCCCAAGAGGCCAAAAGAAACTCCCAGGAGGCCTCCAGGAGGCCCCCAAGAGGCTCCCAAGAGGCCCCGCGACGACGTGACTGTACGTGCTCCGGACGTGCACCCCGCGAAGCGAGAGGAATCATCATCATCATCATCATCATCATCAGCATCAGCAGCAGCAGCAGCAGCATCCTCATCCTCATCCCCATCCCCATCCTCATCCTCATCCTCATCCTCATCCTCATCATCATCATCATCATCATCATCATCATCATATCATCATCATCACCATCATCATCGTCATCATCATGATCATTTTCAACATCATCATCAGCATCATCATCACCACCATCATCATCACCACCATCATCATCATCATCACCATCACCACCACTGTCATCATCAGTATTACAATCATGAGCATCAGCATCATATGGTCATGATCGTCATCTTCATCGTCATCATCAGCATCATCATCATCAGCATCATCACCACCAGCAGCAGCGACACCATGATCATGATCATTGGCATGACCATGATCATGAACATGGATATCATCATCAGCAGCAACATAACCAGCATCATCATCCCCATCAACATCGTCATCACAATCATCAGCATCATCATCACCATCACCAACATCATCATCATCATCATCATCATCATCATCATTAGCATCATCATCACCATCATCCCATCATCATGATCATCATCATCCTGCCGGTCCTCCTTCTCGTGATCCTCGAACTCCAGCTCCCTTTCTCCTCCCCCTTGCTCCCTCCCCCGCTCGTCCCGCCCCACCTCCTCCTCATCCAGCGCCTCCTCCAACTCCTCCTCTACCTCCCTCCTCCCCTCCTCCCCCGTCGCTCCCATTCATCATTTCGCCTCTGCCCTTGCCTTCGTGCCTCCCCCGTCCTCTGCCCTCCTCCTCCTCCAACATTCCCCATCCCCCTCACTCTCCCCCCCTTCCTCCCCCCCCCCCCCTCCCCCCTGCACGCGCTCCCGCGCGCATGCGCGCGCGTGGGGGGCGGGCGGCTCGCGCGTAAGCTTGTGCAAATCAATGTTGCGAAACCCTGTGTTTTTGTATGTTTTTTTGGAAACTCGATTGCGGAATTTCTCCTGCACCGAAGGTTTTTGAAGGATTTCGGCATGCGCGCGCGACGACGCCCGCGCGCGCACTTCGTCCCATTTTTTGCAAGGGAGTCTTGGAAAAATGCTGCTAGAACAAAAAATGCCACCGCATAGTTTTTTTCTCCAGGGTCCCTAGACCGCTAACCAGCAAGAATATCCGACGCAGCAGCGGGAGACGAAGCCAAACGCAACAGCGCGCACGTGGAGTGGCCCCTCGGGCCACAAGTGTGACTCTCCAAGCAAACGTCGAGCAGTGCTGAGAGGGGTGCCAGGCGGCACCACGCAGGCATGTAAGACAATTCTCAAATGAAACGAAAAGGAAATCGGCTAGCCGAAACTCGTAGGCCTTTTTCTCACGGCCAAGAGAACGGGCGGTGGTGGGGAAGCAGGATGGCAGAACTTGAGCCATCACAGTTGCAGTAACAGCAACATGATGTAGACCGGTATGCTACACAGGGACTGGGAGAAACCACATCTACAGATTACTATTCTCCAGGGTCCCTAGACCGCTAACCAGCAAGAATATCCGACGCAGCAGCGGGAGACGAAGCCAAACGCAACAGCGTGCACGTGGAGTGGCCCCTCGGGCCACAAGTGTGACTCTCCAAGCAAACGTCGAGCAGTGCTGAGAGGGGTGCCAGGCGGCACCACGCAGGCATGTAAGACAATTCTCAAATGAAACGAAAAGGAAATCGGCTAGCCGAAACTCGTAGGCCTTTTTCTCACGGCCAAACCTCCCGAATTCCTCGGGACTGGTCTCTGGGCCGTCATCTCACGAAGCGAGTGCAAAAGCCTGGCAGGTAAAGAGCTGGCAGCGCGCTTCGCGCTTCGAATCTGAGAAGCGTCACATTTTTCAAGCTGCTTCAAAAGTTGGGCGTGCTTCTCATATCTTGTGACACTCTTGAAACTCACCCAACGGCCTCTCTTTTGGATTGACGGAAGGTCAGCTCTCTTCTCAAACCGATCGTTGGACGGGCCAGAGTGGCGCAACCAATGCGGCGAGCCGCCCACAGCCTGTAGCTTCAACCTCACCAGGGAGGCTTTGAACTCTCTCTCATAGGTGGCAAGATCAAAATCGAACACGCGCTCACCGACTTGGACTGAGTCTTTGAGCGCGGCCACGACGTCTCTGACCCACTCACGGCCACACACCCCGACATCGACGGTGTCATCCGTCTGGCCAGTCTTGGTCCTCCGCCCGGATTCGGACGGCGCGAAGACCACTGCCCAGCGGCCGGCAAATGCACGGCCCGCCGCGGGCTGGCTACGGAGAATGTCGGCCTCTGAGAGCTCCAGGGTCTCCGAAGGCCTCGAGTGCAAATCGGTCTGAAGCACCGCGCAGGCGGCCATGCGCACCAGCCCGTGATTCAGCAGGTCCAGCGCGATGGCCCAGATCAGTATGAGCGGATAGGGTAGGCCAACAAGCCCGGGATCTGTCCGCTCCCAAGCCTTCAACTGCCTCCGAGCCCGTGGGAGCAACTGACGTCCGTCCTGAAAAGGCTCTCCTCGCAGCAAGATCCAGCCGAACAGGCCGTTGCGGCCCGTCCCAGGACCCATGCCATCGAAGAACATCTGAGTAAACCAGTGCACCATATTCTCGTCAGCGTCCTTTGCATTGTTGGTCTGGCGACCGACCCCGACGCACCACGCCTCGAAGTCCTCCAGCGCCGCCGTGTACAGCCTCCGAGTGGACTCTGCGACGGACAGCTCCCTCATGAACTGCGCCCGCGAACGCCCACTGCCCTCAGCCCGACGACGCCGGCTGGCGGCCTTGGCCTTAGCCGAGACCCGGCGGCGGGACGACTGGGAGGTCGAGAGCCTCCCCGCGCTTCCTGAGCCGGGCCCTCTCGGCGGCCCCCGTCCTGCCGAAGAGGACGCCGTGGCGCGTGAGGTAGTCGGTGGCTGCTCCACAAACCGCATCGCCGCACGCTGCTTCGTCAGCACCGGGAACGTCACGCCCAGCACGAAGACGACGGCCAGGCCGAACCAGTGCCGCCAAGGCAGCGTGCCACTCGCCGGCCCAAGGGGCATCGCCCCCACGGGCGGCCAGAGGTGCAACCTCGCTCAAGTATGACGCCCATCTCGAGCACAAAGCCGACGGATACTGACCCGCCAGGGCCGTGAGATTGCACCAGACGTGACCCCCAGAGCCATCAGGGACCCGAACTTTACCCACCAGCTGTTCATGCCGACGATGGGTACAGGGAGCCGACAGGCCCCTCAGCTCCGGGATGTTCGTGAGCACCAGAGTCCACTTTTGATGAGGAGCACCATACGCACACATAGGAAATCGCACCCAAGACGCACCGTGGAGACCGGCGAGGCGACCAATAGGAGGGAAACTCCAGAGCCCAGAGGTCATGGGGTTCTCGATGCTCCAGCCCACTCCACAACGTTGACACTCACGGACAACTTCAGCGGTAAACAACGCGAACTCAACCCCGAGACGCTCCAGGATTTCAGCTCGATGAAGATTGCGGACTCCACGTCGAGCGTTGCTCCAGGCCCTGCATGGGGCCCCCAAGTGTACAGCCCAAGCTCTTCCAGACCGAACCCAAGATAGGACGAGCAGCTGTGTTTTTCTCCTCGAGAGGTCATACTCGGCACCCTTCTTGATGTCAAACGGGGCCGCTGTCCGCAGCCCAGCACGTCGCACGGCGGCGGTCAACCCCGCCGCGCCTGCGAACAACTCCAGAAAGACGCGTGCATGTGAGGTGGAGGGAGGCGATGGTGACTCTGCGTGTTCTCTATGATCGGGGGGAGTGGACGAAGAGGATGAACCCCCCTCCCCGACGCTCGCGGACGGCAACCAAGGGGCAACAGGCTGTCGCTCCCTCTTCTTCTGCAGCAGCCACTCAGGGTCGCGGGCCTGGCCCCTCCTCGACCCCTCGTCGGCCACATTCAAGTCTGTCGGGACGTGCCTGACCCGCCACCGAACTCGGCAGCCCACGCTATAGGCGGCCGCCTTTCGGCACAACGAATTCAGAACGTGTGATCGGGCCCTGCCTTTGTCAAAGCAGCAGCAGCAGACAAGGTTGTCGCAAAGGCTGAGAGCACGGTGCCCGTGGTGGGCGCGTGTCCGGCAAAAGCGCCTCAGGCCGGCCACGCAGATCCGGCCCTCCTTCACGTTGATGTGCTCGTCATACTTCCAACGACCCTCTACGGCGGTAGTCCACCCGAGGCTGCTGGTGAGGGCGGTCGGCAGAGCGGGCGCGACGTTGAGCAACTCCACCTCCTGGGTCAGACCGGGGCGGCTAGCCCAGCGCCGCGGCGCACCGCGGCCGACAGCAGCTCGGCGAAACAGGAGCTTCCCCAGCTCGGTCTCGCGCCAGGCTCCTGCCGGCTGACCGCCTCGAACTCGGGCGTCTGCATGCTTGGGGGCCCCCTCGTCCAGCGTGGCCCCGAAGCCGTCGGTGACGCCCCGGAGCTGGTTGAGGTACGCCGCCGTGTAGGCGTCCGAACTCCTGTCGGCCTCCACCTCCACGAATCGCCAACGCTCTCGCCAGCGATATGCATCCCAGACAGCACGAAGCGGCTTCTGTCCGTACATCAGGCAGAAGCCGGAGGACGACGAATCCGAAACGTGGACCTCGTCGGCGAGGGGCGCACTCAGATCGACCTCGGTCAAGAAACAGGCGATGGCGGCCATGCGGGGCTCCCCGCGGACCGCCGCGGGAAACGCTGCCCGCCGCCGACTGCCGTCGCCGATGAAGTGGTACACGCCCTGCAGGATGGACAGCAAGCAGGGCTGCAGCCCCAAGAGGGCCACGGCGTGCCCCGCCCAGACGCGGAGCTCGGCCCCCGTCGCGTGGCCCCGCTTCAGCAAGGCCTTGGTGGCGAAGTAGAAGCGCCAGACCCGCTTGGGCTTCTGGCGCACGCGGCGGTCGGTCCCGCACAGCACCAGGCCCAAACTCTCCAGCTCCTCCACCGCCACGTCCGCGGCGTGCAGGGCCAGCCCCGCCTCGGCAGCCCGCTCCTCGAAGGCCCGCACCCCGTGCTCGGCGTCGACGGCCGAGCCCCCCACCCCCGTGAAGTTGTCCACGTACACGGCGGCCAGAGGCCGCCCAGGGCGCAGGAGGGGCGCAGGACGCTTGTCTCGAAGGAGCTGCCGATCTCCATCAGCAGCAGAGCGTCGAACCTGCTGAGTGACAGCTTCCTGGGCGAAGTACAGCGCCCAGGCCCAACCCATCGGTAAAACACGGAGGCAGGGGAACAGGAGCTCGCCTGCTCGGGCAGGAGTCCAGTCTCCCACCTCGTCGCCCCACACGCGCGTGATGCCCATGTCCCAGTCCTCGATGGTCAGCGCGGAGTCGAACCCGAACCAGCTGCCCATCTCCTCGTTGGCGAGCTGGTAAAAACAATCCTTGACGTCGGCTCCCGAGAAGCGTGGCTCGCAGACGCCACCAAAGCCTCCCAGAGCCGTAGCGTAGCTGCTGAGGTCGATCTCCGAAAGGCAGGCTGCACCTCCCAAGACCGTCCGAGGAGGGAGACGATGGCACATGTTCGTCGCCCTCGCGTCGCAGCTAAACCTGATGTTGCCGTACTTCTTATGAACGAAAAAAGCGCCGCAGCGGGACTTGATGGCCCGCCTGAAACCCACGATGCCGATCTTGGCAAGTCGGCGAAAAAAGTCACGACGGAGCTCAGCATCACCGCGAAGCCGAGGGTCCCAGTACGGCTCGGGCATCCCCCCAGCCTCTCGGACACGCTCGGCGATCTCGGGTTCTGAGAGCTCGATCTGGCTCTGGAAGTGTCTCAAAAAACCTGCAGCCTCGGCAGGTAGCAAGTCCGTCACGGGAACTGGGTTGATGTCCCCTTTGCGCACCCTAAGGCGCGAGACGTCGTAGCTCGCCAAATGCTGCGGCTCCAGTTCATACTGGTCAGTGGATCTGAGGATCTCCCGGAGGGACCTCTCGCCGTCCACCGCTTCGCTCGAGGGGTTCCCGTAGAAGTCGATCCGCTCCTGGACTGACTCCAGCACGCTGCGCTGCACTGCTGTGGGAGCTCCCCCGTACGGCCTAACTCGTCGAGCTTTGTCGCATCCTGAATTCACACGTGAGGCGGCAAGGTAGTTGAGCATGTCAACCGCTTCGGATACTCGCCGTTGCCTCTCAGTCCTGACTCTCCACCGTCGCACAGTGGAGCGGGGGGCGCCAGACGGCCTCGCGTTGATGGCCACCTGCGGCAAGGGAAAAGGGTCGTTGTGAAGCCACTGTCCGCGAGGCCACCATTCAGTCTTGGTCTGGCCTCCAGCTCCACGTCGAGGGCGCCCACCGTCTTCAGGCGCGGCAGAGCCCTGCTGGTGAGCGCCAGGGAACACGGTCATTCCCCGCCCCCCGAGCCATCGCCCGGGGGGCCGCCCTTCTTCTTCTTGCCCTTGTCCCTCCCCTTGTCCTTCAGGTTCCGCTCCCCCCCGTCGCCCGAAGGGCGCTCCCGCTCCAGCTCCTCTTTGTGCAACCTCATCTGCTTCAATATATTGGCGCGGTCCTTCTGGCGGGCCACCACAAACTCTGTGTATCTCGGGGCGGCGGCAGAGCCCGATGCACCTGTGGGCCCGCCGACGGCATCCTCGAGACCGGAAAAGTCTGGATGCCGTGGATTGCGCTGTACTGCCATCTCGATCTGGATGACCCGCCTGGCCAGTGCCTCCATGCAGTGGAGGTTCTTCACATTGAGCTGGTCCATGCAGATCGCACGGCGGGCAATCTCCAGGAGCGAACGGTGCTCGTGGCATTGGGCACCCCCTGAGAAGACCCCGCTCATGCGCTCCCACTCGGCCTGGTAGCTCGTGAGGTTCCCGCTGCCGACGGCCACCGACGTGACGAACTCGCCCATCGCGCGCGGCCCTAAGTCGGTGTAGTCGGCGAGCTCCACCTCCTCCATCTGCTCCACGGCGTCACGGAAGTCCACGTCCCTGCGGCCGATCTTCGACCGCTGGTCGCCGTTCAGGCGGATGTCGACGCAGCTCTCTTTGCGCTCCTTCATCCAGTCATCCCTCTCGTCGCGGGTGATCAGCTCGATCATCCGCTCCTGCCCGTCCAGCATCACGATGCCCTTCCTTCGCAGATGGGCACAACGATTCGGGTCCTCCACCACGTCAGCAGGCACCACCTCGCCGAACCTCGCGTCCCGCGGCTCGGCGAGCACCCAAGCGAGGTCCGCCTCATCCTCGGCGTCGCCAGCCCCCAGCAGCGCCGCGCGCTGCCGGGCTTGGCGCTTCAGCTCAAGCAGCTCCCCGTGGTCGATGGGGTCGAAAGCATAGAGCCCAGCCAGCACCCACCGAGGGAACTGCGCATTCCGATCGAGGACATAGTGGCGCAGCTCGTTCAAGTTGTGCTGCGTGATCTCCATATCTGGCGTCAAGCACATCCAGCGCCCGTCGCCCATGGCGTGCAGGAGAACCCGATGATGCCACGGCAAGGCATCCAGAGGGAAGTTCACGACGATCTGCGGCTCCCGTATGTCAAGCGAGCGCGGCCTGGCCGCCATCTCTCCTCGATGCTGGCGTCACCACCAGCGCCCTCGCTGTCTCTGGTCCCGCGGCAGGCTCCACCACGTGAGCGTCACGCAGAGCCTCGGGCGAACGCACAGATGCACTCGACCCGCGAGCCGCGAGTCGGCCAACGTACAGTCCGACGGCAGCCCCGAGCACCAGGCCCGCCAGCGCGCACCCCGTGGCCACGCCCGCGCCCAGCAGCAGCAGCCAGCTGCCCGCCTCGGGCTTGGGGCACGTGCGCTCACAGTGCGCGGCCGGGCAGGCCGGGAGCGGAGGCCCCGACGAGCACACCAGCTCGGGGCACGCAGGGATCGCAGGGAGGCTCGGACACTGGGCGGCGATCGCCGCGGTCTGGTAATGAAGGCCAAGGGTGGTGAGGTCCCTGGCGGCCGCGAGGACGACTGGCGTCCACCCCCACATCAGAACTTGAGCCATCACAGTTGCAGTAACAGCAACATGATGTAGACCGGTATGCTACACAGGGACTGGGAGAAACCACATCTACAGATTACTATTTACAAGGGACCCTCAGGGGGGGGGATACCGGCCCCCCTGGGATAGTGTACATTCATTTTTAGGATGGACGTGTGGTCATCATCATATGTGATCTACATACCCGAAAGGGGGAGTGATAACGCCGGGGGGGGGGCGGGGTAGATCCTATCCTTTTGAAAAAGGAGAATTGATTTTTACTCATGATTTGACACGTCCCATTCTCTCACAAACATCCCACCCAATATGAATTCATACCGGTATCGCCCCCCCGCCATCTTCTGCAACAAAAACTATGCGCGCAGTCTCGTTTTTATCAAAAATCATAAGCTTTCTTTTGCAAAAAAGAAAGAATTAGCCTGGCGAAGGACCCAACCATATGCAGTTGAGAGTACCGCAATTGTGAATATCTTCTTCGGTGGCGCCCCCTATGGGGCCACGAGCCGTATGAGGGGTGTGCCGAAATGCGTGGCAGTGTACACAACACGAACGAAGACGATAGGTCCGAATATGAAAGCTTGAGCGCGTGCGAGTCGGATCGCGAGCGAGTCTGATTATGAATGAATCTGCGCGCGATTGATTCTATTCGCATGAATGCGTGCATGGATACGCCCAGTGTAAATGTATGTATACGACTGTGAACAGTTTGGGTCTGCGTGACTCTCGGTACTCGTGACTCTGAGCGTCGCCTCTGCAGGGGGCTTCCCTGGGAACCCCGACGGCAGCGCCCGCGCGCCGCGACGCCCATGTCGGCACGCCACACACCTGGTGTGCGGGACGCATGCGGACGGCAGCACTGGGGCCTTCGGTGGAGCTCCCTGTGGGGCCACGAAACGTGTGAGGGGTGTGCCGAAATGGGTGTGCGGGACGCATGCGGACGGCAGCCATGGGGCCTTCGGTGGAGCTCCCTATGGGGCCACGAAACGTGTGAGGGGTGTGCCGAAATGGGTGTGCGGGACGCATGCGGACGGCAGCACTGGGGCCTTCGGTGGAGCTCCCTGTGGGGCCACGAAACGTGTGAGGGGTGTGCCGAAATGGGTGTGCGGGACGCATGCGGACGGCAGCCTGGGGCCTTCGGTGGAGCTCCCTATGGGGTCACGAAACGTGTGAGGGTGTGCCGAAATTGGTGTGCGGACGCATGCGGCGGCAGCACTGGGGCCTTCGGTGAGACGCTCCCTGCGACGGCAGCCATTCGGTGGAGCTCCCTATGGGGCCACGAAACGTGTGAGGGGTGTGCCGAAATGGGTGTGCGGGACGCATGCGGACGGCAGCCATGGGGCCTTCGGTGGAGCTCCCTATGGGGCCACGAAACGTGTGAGGGGTGTGCCGAAATGGGTGTGCGGGACGCATGCGGACGGCAGCCATGGGGCCTTCGGTGGAGCTCCCTATGGGGCCACGAAACGTGTGAGGGGTGTGCCGAAATGGGTGTGCGGGACGCATGCGGACGGCAGCACTGGGGCCTTCGGTGGAGCTCCCTGTGGGGCCACGAAACGTGTGAGGGGTGTGCCGAAATGGGTGTGCGGGACGCATGCGGACGGCAGCACTGGGCCTTCGGTGGAGCTCCCTGTGGGGCCACGAAACGTGTGAGGGGTGTGCCGAAATGGGTGTGCGGGACGCATGCGGACGGCAGCCATGGGGCCTTCGGTGGAGCTCCCTATGGGGCCACGAAACGTGTGAGGGGTGTGCCGAAATGGGTGTGCGGGACGCATGCGGACGGCAGCCATTGGGGCCTTCGGTGGAGCTCCCTGTGGGGCCACGAAACGTGTGAGGGGTGTGCCGAAATTGGTGTGCGGGACGCATGCGGACGGCAGCACTGGGGCCTTCGGTGGAGCTCCCTATGGGGCCACGAAACGTGTGAGGGGTGTGCCGAAATGGGTGTGCGGGCTGGGGAGGCCACGAAACCTGGGGCCTTGGGGCCTTCGGTGGAGCTCCCTATGGGGCCACGAAACGTGTGAGGGGTGTGCCGAAATGGGTGCGGCGGACGCATGCGGACGGCAGCACTGGGGCCTTCGGTGGAGCTCCCTATGGGGCCACGAAACGTGTGAGGGGTGTGCCGAAATGGGTGCGGACGCATGCGGACGGCAGCCATGGGCCTTCGCGACGGTGAGAAATGGGTGTGCTGCGACGGCATGGGCCTTCGGTGGAGCCCCTGTGGGGCCGAAACGTGTGACCGAAATGGGTGTGTGGAGCGAAAACGTGCCGCCGGCGGACGGCAGCCTGGGGCCTTCGGTGGAGCTCCCTGTGGGGCCACGAAACGTGTGAGGGGTGTGCCGAAATGGGTGTGCGGGACGCATGCGGACGGCAGCCATGGGGCCTTCGGTGGAGCTCCCTGTGGGGCCACGAAACGTGTGAGGGGTGTGCCGAAATGGGTGTGCGGGACGCATGCGGACGGCAGCAATGGGGCCTTCGGTGGAGCTCCCTGTGGGGCCACGAAACGTGTGAGGGGTGTGCCGAAATGGGTGTGCGGGACGCATGCGGACGGCAGCCATGGGGCCTTCGGTGGAGCTCCCTGTGGGGCCACGAAACGTGTGAGGGGTGTGCCGAAATGGTGTGCGGGACGCATGCGGACGGCAGCACTGGGGCCTTCGGTGGAGCTCCCTGTGGGGCCACGAAACGTGTGAGGGGTAGGAGAGGAGAGGTGAGGAGAGGAGAGGAGAGGAGAGGAGAGGAGAGAGGAGGAGAAGGAGGTGGGACGCGGGGCGCTGTCTCTTCAAAACGAGGACCCAACACCACAGGATGGTTGGGACAAAAATACCTTGCAACACATGGGGCGGAGTGCACACGCGCGCGTCCTCGCGCGCGCATGCCGAAATCCTTCAAAAACTTCTTGTGTCGGAAGGATTTAAAAATCGTGTTTCCAAAACACATGCAAAAACACAGGGTTTCGCAACCCTGATTTTCTACAAAGGCTTACGCGCGCGCTCTTGCGAAATTCTTAGAAACCATAGGTTTTTCAAGACTTGCAAAGCATACTACCAAACGGGCTTCGCGCGCGCATGCCGAATTCGTTCGAACGCCCTTGCGCGCGTGCCGTCGCGAGAATCCTCTGCAAAAAACTGGGGCGAAGGGCACGCGCAGGCGTCGTCGCGCGCGCATGCCGAAATCCTTCGAACACCTAGGGTGTCGGAAAGGTTTATAAAATCCAGTGTCCAAAAAACCCACAATAAACTCTGGACTTCGCAACACGGGTTTTCAACAAAAGCGTGCGCGCGCGCTTTTGCGTCGTCGTCGTCGTCGCCGTCCTCCCTCCTCCCTCGTCGTCGTCGTCGCCGTCGTCGTCCTCTGTCTTTCGTCGTCGTCGTCTTTGGCGTCGTCGTCGTTTCCGTCGTCGTTGTTGCCGTGGTCGTCTTTCCTCCTCCCTCGTCGTCGTCGTCGTCGTCCGTCGTCGGCGACTCGTCGTCGTCCCTCCTATTTCGTCGCCGTCGTCGTCGTCGTCGTCGTCGTCGTCGTCTTCCCTCCTCCCTCTCGTCGTTGTCGTCGTAGGCGTCGCTGTCCTCCCTCCTTCGTCGTTCGCGCCGTCGCCGTCCTCCCTCGTCCCTTGCCAGTGTCGTCGTTGTCGCCGTCGTCGTCCTCCCTCCTTCCTCGTTGTCGTCGTCGTCGTCTTCGTTGGCGACGTCGTCGTCGGCGTCGGCGTCGGCGTCGTCGTCTTCGTCGCCGTCGACGTTGGCGTCGTCGTCGGCGTCGTCATCGTCGTCGTCGGCGTCGGCGTCGTCGTCGTCGTCTCGTCGTCGGTGTCATCGTCGTCGTCGTTGGTCGGAGACGTCGTCGGTGTCGTCGTCGGCGTCGGCGTCGTCGTCGTCGTCGACGTCGCTGTCGTCGTCGGCGTCGGTGTCGTTGCCAAGTGCCGTTTGGTACCTACCGTCACGGTCTTCAGAGGTGTTGCAAGTCAAGTTGCGGGTTTAAGGTGGACGATGGAACAACATCATATGTAAATTACCATACGGAAAGGTTACCATTAACTCCGGGGGGGGGGTAGAGTCTATTCTTCTTTTAGAAAGGAGAATACATGTTGACCGCCATATGTGGTTCAACCAGTGTGATCCGACCTGCGTTGTGCAATGCGTGGTGCAATTTATCATATGCAACCATTGTGGTGCAATCTGGCTTGTGTAATCAGAATTGTGCAACCTAGGTGGAGCAATACATGTGGTGCGCAGCATATGTTGTGACATCGGCGTGGCCCAATCTAGGTTATGCCATCTAAGTTGTCCGTTGCATGTTGTGTAGTGAGTGTGGTGCGATCCATGTCGTGCAATCAATGTCAAAACACTTGGGGTTGTCACCTCCACTGCTCGCGCAATCATCCCACCCTCCCACCCACAACTTGCTTCGCAAAAGCCGTGCGGCGATTGCGATGACTGCTTGGCGCTGGCTGGCGCATCTCTGCGGCCGCGCAGAGCGGCCAGCTACTTTGGCACAACCGACGCGGCCGCAGTGGCGCTGACCGATGGGGATTTCCCAGCGCGTCTCACAGGCCGCGCTGGCGCGCGGGCACTTCAGAACAGGTTGGTCACTCGGGCGGGCGTTGCCTCAAGGTGACATCGACAACTGCGTAATCGATGATGCGAGTAGCAATGCTGGAGACGATGAGCGCGATGGCGACGGCAAGGTCACCGACGGCGCCGATGCTGGTCACGCCGATGACGATGATGATCTCCACGTGTCGGTGATGAAGATCTCGGGGGGATTTCGGCATGCGCGCGCGGCTGGCAGGGATCGAGTATACGCAAGAGTGACCCTGGGTAAGAGTGACCTTCGGTGCGCGGCCTTTTGGGGGACGCGGGGTGGCCGAACCCAAGCGCGCAAGCCGCTGCTGCCGCCTCGCCTTCAGCGACGGGGGGGGCCCCGCTGGACCCGCACCAGAGGCCACTCCGGCGAACGGTCACTCCCATGTCGAATCGAAAGGAGAGCGAGAAGCACCTCCTCCGGGGCAAAGCATCGGGCTGCGCGCAGGCAGCCGCCCCAGCTGGCTTAGGACCACTCGGGACCAGGGCCTGCTGGAGCCAGCCGGGACTACGTGGGTGGCTATCTGTGCGCAACCCAAAGCCTTACCACACCTCGTCCTCCCCGTCCTCCCCGTCCTCCCCGTCTTCCTCCTCCTCCTCCTCCTCCTCCTCCTCCTCCCCTCAGGTTCGCAATTTCGGAACAAATCAACATCGCGTACAATCGCGACTGGACTCCTGCGTCCCCACTTTCTGCAGCAGCTCTTCCACCCGGATCGACCCGTGATGGCCCCCCGGGCCCGACACCAGGCGAGGACGCCCGGTGTGCGAGACCTGCAGTGCCCTGATCTCAGGATCCCGCTCCGTGCTGATCTCAAACCTACGGCGCGGAGCGCCCCAGGGGCGACGCCAGAGGCTGCGCCAGGCTGCTGCGACCGCCCCAGACTGTTCGGAGGGCCTGTTGAGGCCAAACGGGACTACGTGGGGGGCCATCTGTGCGCAGCCCGAAGCCTTGCAACTCCTCCTCCTCCTCCTCCTCCTCCTCCTCCTCCTCCTCACCTGTGATCCGATGTTGGGGAACAACGCAACATCGCGGACGATCACGACCAGACCCCTAAATCCTAGCTTTCTGCGGCAATTCTCCCAGCTGAATCGACCTGTCATGGCCGCAGGGGCCGACACTGGGCGAAGACGCAGACGCCCCATGTGAGAGATCTGCAGTGCCCTGATCTCAGAGCCCTCCTCCTCCTCTTGCCCCGCCGCCGCCCGAGCTCGAGCCCGAGCCGATCGATGTGGTGGGCGTGGTGGTGGGGGGGATGTCTGGGAGGCCGTGGCTGTTTCAAGGGCACTCGGTGGTGAAATGCGACGTGGAGGGTCTCGAACACCCGTGCTGATTTTTTGCAAGTCCTGCGGGGCCTCGCTGCTCCTCCTCTTCCTCCTCCTCCTCCTTATCTTCTTTTTTGAAGTTGATCGGACTTCAGTCGGCTTGCATTGCAGCGTCAGTCCTCCTCCTGCATTGCAGCGTCAGTCATCTTCCTCCTCCTCCTCCTGGAGGGGGTCCCTCCTCCAGGCTCTTCTGCTCCATGCTGATAAGCTTGCCGAGCAGCTGCTGCTCGAGGCCCTTGAGCGTCACGGTGAAGTCGATCACGGTGCACTTCGCGGACAACTCGGGGCTGAAGTGCGGGTTGGGCAGCCGCGACGTCATGTACAGCGAGAACTGGAGAAGGGAGAAGGGCCCTCCTCCTCGCCTCCTCCTCATCATCACCAGCACCAGCATCAGTATTTTCATAATCATCATCATCATCATCATCATCATCATCATCATCATCAGTATCACTACCACCATTACCATCACCATCACCATCATCGTCATCATCATCATCATCACCACCACCATCATCATCATCACCAGCAGCATCAGCATCACCAACATCATCATCAACAGCAGCATCATCCTCACCAACATCATCATCATCATCAGCATCATCATCATCATCAGTATCAGCATCAGCACCAGCATCATCATCATCATCATCATCATCATCAGCATCAGCATCAGCATCAACATCAGCATCATCATCATCATCAGCAGCATCATCATCCTTTGTCTTCCCCTTCTCCTTCTTCTCCCTCTCATCATGTTCCTCCTCTTGCTCCTCCTCCTCCTCCTCCTCCTTTTCCTTCCTCCTCCGCCCTCTTGTTCTCCTCCTCCTCCTCCTCATCCGCCTCCTCCTCCCTCCTCCTCCCTCCCTCTCCTCCTGAGCAGCGTTTGACCGATTCCCATCTCCACTGGCGTGGCCTCGGCCCAGCTGGCTGACGTACTAACCAACGTGGCGATGTAGGGCCTGATCGTTCGGGTTTCGCGGGGGCTACCCCCACCTAGGAGGGTGGGCTGGTAGAGCTGAGATGCCATGACCCAGTGGATATTGAGATATATTAGACGTTGCTGATGCTCCCTCCCCTGTTTCTCTTCTTGGCACCGCTGTGGCCCATGCAATTGTGCCACGCTGGTGATGCACCGCCGATGCATCGGCAATGCAGCGGCGCAGTCGGCGATGCATGGGCGACGCAGCGGCGACGTCATCGTGGAGAAAAGCGGGCTCTGCATCGGGCCGCATCGCCGATACATCGGCGATGTGGCGCGATCCTCGGACCCCACTCTGCTCGGACCCCACTTGGGAGGTCCGGAGTGGTTTCCGGGGCATAACTTAAACCTCAGGCGGCCGTTCGGGACGACTCTGGCACCCCCAGAGCACTCTCGACGAGGCGCAGTTGCTAGAGAGCACTCCGACGCTGGAAAACCTACAACAACAACCGACAACCCAAGAAACATTCCGAACTTAGCCGCCCCGATACGCAACACACGCACTGATACGGAGCTCAACACGTATCCCGAATACGTGGGTCCGACGCGATACATTCGCCAAAACGTGGTCCAATATCAGGGGGACGTAAGACCTGGGTACAGGGGACTCGGAAATCCCCGACGAGGTCGTCAAGAAAATGACGAGGCCGAGCCTGCATTATGACGAGACCTCCCGCTGCAGACATCCCACGAAACTCCTCCTCGTCAAAATCCGAGGCGCGGTCGTCAAAAAACGATGGTGAACCCGAGTCCTGGCAAACCCGGGTCTTACGCTCCCCCGACAATACGTGGAGCCGACACGCAACGTATTGGCACGGACGTTTTGAGTACGGTACGTGTTGCGTATCAAGACGTGCGTATCGAGGCAGCTAAGCTTCCGAAGACCGGTCCCCCGACCTCGCCCTGGAGCGGCCGTGTTCCACCCGAGCGTCCGCGCTGGGCCGCCGTCGCGTCGAGCGCCCTGTGGCAACCCATGGGAGCCTCGCGTGCCATCTTTTGAATAGGGCTGGGGGGTCAGGTCTGCAGAGCACCCCAAACGGACGTCAAAAGGCGCAACCAACCTGTTCGGTCAAGCTGAAATTGATACGCTACGCCCGGCGTCAAACCAAAACTTTGGACATCAACGAACGGTTAGAGCTTGCGCATCTTCGTCGGCTTGACTGGCGAGGCGTTTGACCACCTTGACGTCCTTTTTTGGTGGTCCTGCAGAGGAAAGCGATCTCTGACCCTTGGCCTTACTCAAGCCATCTTGCTCGCTCTGGCGAGTTGGCGCTAGTCGACGCTAAATCTAGGGGGCCACATGCGAACCCTGCCCCTACCCCCCACGATTGCTCGGGGGGAGGGTGGGGTTCGCTTCGTTCGGGAACTCCCGAGCGAAGTGGACCCCACCCTCCCCCTCCGAAATGGTGGGGGGTAGAGGTTCGCATGTGGCCCCCTAGAATCGACGCCAATCGACGCTAAATCGACGCTGACACGGCGCTTTCTCATCGATTACCAGACGCGGGCGCACACCAGTGCACTCCAAAAACGGCATTCCGAGGACGCACAAGGCTCCCATGAGTTGCTACCCCAGGAGCCCCTGTTGGCCTCGTGGGCGGTGCTCCGGCAGCACGCAAGGCCTCCGCGGAGCGGACCAGCTGGGACTCCACTCTGGCAGGTCGGAGACCTGCTGACCCGGGTCAATCCAGACCCGGGTTAGTCAAGCCTTGCAGAATCCTGCAAAATCCTGCACCCAAACCCGGGCCAATGCGAAGGATCCTGCAAGATCCTGCAGGATCCTGCACCCGAACCCGGGTCAATGCGACCCTGGCCGTGCAGGATCCTGCAAGATCCTGCGCTCTGGCGGAACCCCCGTTTGCATTGACCCCCGTCGCGAGGCTCCCGAGCAGGATCGGTCAGCATCGAACCGGCCAATCGGATCGAACCGAACTGCGCATCGGATCGGGCTGCACCGGCGCGGCATCGACATCTGATCGGATCGGATGCGCCAGGATGCGCAACGGCGCCATGCAAACATCGGGCAGTATCGGCAAGCAAGACCCTGCATCCTGAAGGACGCGTGGGCAGGCAAGGACTCTCACGGTTCCTGCCGTGATTCGCTGCGACAGACAATCGGCGACAGCGCGGATCGGATCGGATCGTCAGAAGATCGGACTCGAGCCGAATCGGGCCGGCCAAGGCCGATGTCGAATCGCATCGAGCGGGTCGAACCGGGCCCTGCCTCTGGCAGCACCCGGCCCGTCGCTCCGGGCGTGGGGGGGTGGGAGCGCTCGGAGATGCACCAGAGGGTGGCGGACCCTTCCCCGAGGCTGCCCCCACGAAGGCTTCCACAACGGCCTCATCCCGAAGGCGACGACGACTGCGACTACGACGACGACTCCGACACGGGGGAGGCGAGGCGAGCGGCCAGGGACGCCGGCGCTGGCTGCAAGATGTGCTCGGGGATCACGCTGCGTCGTCGGGGGACCTCGTCTGTCCCCCGAACTGGTACCTATTCTTGTACCCGACGCGGGTTCGATGCGGACTCGAAGCGGATGTGGTGCAGATTCGACGCGGACTCGACGAGTCCGCCGCGGATTCAACACGGCGTCGACCCAGATATGGGCGCGACGCACAGACGAGGTCCCCCGAAGATGCAACAAAACAGTGATGGGGGGCCAGGATACCGAAACATCATTAACTTGCTAACGCAACTGTCTCCACTGTCTCTAACGCAACTGTCTCCGCGCAGCTTGGGAGGCTCGGAAAGGCTCGGGACATTCAAGCCTGGGGACTGGGATGTGGATGGCACGTCGCGCCGAAGACCTGGCGGCGCCACTCGCTAAGCTTACGTTCCCGACCGTACGAGGTACGCTTCGCATGCTCGGGACGTGCATGCGCACCGTCCCCGTCTCAGAGGGAGCCCCGGCCAGCCTCCAGCGGCGAGGCCCCGCCCCCCGCCCGCGCCGCGCGCGGGGCCCCTGCCGCCGACGACGACGACGACGACGCCGACGCCGACGACGACGACGACGACGACGGGCCCCGGTCGTGGCCGAGCTCTTGTGCCCTGCACGAAGGGCAGGGCTGCCTCGCCGCGGGCCCGCGGCGCTGCCGGGGTGTCTCCCCCGGAGCGGCGCCACCAGACGAGCAGAAGGGCCGTGTCGCTGGCCTGTCGTCTCTCCCAGGGAGGAGCTCAACAGCGCAGGCCTGCTCCTTGTAGTCCATGTTCTGGTCGCTGACGTTGATGTACAGATTCTTGCCTTTCTTGATGATGGCCTTGTCCAGAACAGGATCCAGCATGGGGTCAACCTCATTCTCCACATTCTCGATCAACAGACACAGGCCCTCCCCCATCGTGAACTCCACCTGGCAAACAAAGCAACATGATACGCAATAGGCCATTCAGAGTCTAGCTTGCACAGCCGAAGCAGCGAAGAACATGACAAGGTATGTAATGAAGACCGTCTGGACATCATGAGAACACCAACAAACAAAACACATATCTGCCGCGACCCCAATCGGGGGAACACTTCCAAAGCGGCATTGCTTGGCAGTGCTGAGCATTGAATGCCGTTGCTTGGGGCTGCATGTCCCTACATGGATTTGTATTGTTTGTCGTTGCTTGGCATTGTTTGGCGCTGTTGAACATTGCTTCGTATTGGTTGGCGATGCTTGGCGTTGCTTGTCGCTGGTTAGCCTTCTCTGGTGCTGTTTAGTATTGAGTGGCGTTGCTTCGCATGGCTTGGCATTGTTTGGCGCTGCTTGCTTGCATTGCGTTGCGTGGCTCAGCGTTGCTTGACGTTGCTTGGCATTGCCTGGTATTGCTCAGTATTGCCTGGCGTTGCGTGGCTTGGTGTTGTTTGGCATCGCCTGGGGAGGCAGCCAATAACCAAGAAATCAAAACCAAGGGATAAAGGAGCAAAATAATCAAGGAACAACGACAAAGAAACCAAGACCAAATAACAAAGAACAGTACATCGAGAAACCAAGAGGAAGAAACCAAAGAACCAAAGAACAACACCAAAGAAGCCGGGGTAAACAACATAGAACTCGGACCAATGAACCAAAAAACCAAGACCAAGGACCCCCCGGAACGCGGGCCGACCAGGCCCCCCACCCACCGAGCTTCTTCACAAGAGAGCAAGAGCCACTTAGGCAAAGCATGATTGGGGGATGATCATGCGATCTCGGAGGTCCGCGGGGGTTTCTTGGATCGGCGTGGACCTCCCTCCTCCTGGTACGCGAAGCGAGTCAGCGGCGGCACCAGAGGCGCCGCCGAGGGGTCCAGCGTGGAGCCAAGGAATCAGCGCGGACCTCCGAGAATATACGTTCACTTCTTGTCTGTTCTTCGAGTTGTGCGCAGATGATGATGTGGCAACTTATGGGAGCCTCCAATATCTCATCTTGCTGGTTCTTGCGATACGACGCTCACCCTCACCGTCGCTCCCCGACGCTCATCGACGCTAAGTCGACACTGATCGACGAGCAATCGGCACTTTCTCATCAATCACCAGATGCTAGGGCACGCGAATGTACTCTGCATACGGACGTCCGAAAACATACAAGGCTCCCATGAATTACTACTATACTACCGAAGGATGTGATGCTGCCGGCAATGCGGCGCAATGATTAGGGAAACGAGCAATGACATAAACATACAAGCTTGAGGTCCGCGCGGAATTCTCGGATCGGCGCTTGACCCCCCTCCCTGGCGCGCGGAGCGCGCCAAGGGCGGCGCTAGATGCGCCACCAGGGGGCCCCAACGCCGATCCGAGAAATCCGCGCGGACCTCCGGTTTATGTCATCCTTCGTTCCCCTAGAATGGCAACGGGATTCATGCAAAATCGCCTGCCCCCTTGTGGGACCACCAGGCTGTAGGGTGAGGATTGCTGCTCCCTGCGCCAGTTCCAGTTTCCAGCCTCCAATGTTACAATCCTGCGTTCTGCTTCCTACTGTAAGTTGTTACTGTCCTTTCGAGGGGGGGGAGCCTGAAAGGACCCTGGCTACCACCCCCAAGGAGGGTTCTCAGAATTTCCTGGAGGCCGTGGGACACTAAAAACACATGAGATCTGCACATCCGAAACGAGAAGCCCTTGCACATTACGTTCTATTCGGGCTGCCGAGGCCACAATCCCTTGCAAATTGCGCCGTGCTCGCGCTGCCGAAGCCACAATCCCTTGCAAATTGCACTAAATTCGCGCTGCCGAGGCCACCACTCTTTGCAAATTGCGCCATATCCGCGCTGCCGAAGCGACAACCCCTAGCAAATTGCCCCATATTCGCGCTGCCGAGGCCACAACCACAATTCCTTGCAAATTGCACCATGCTCGCACTGCCGAGGCCACAATTCCTTGCAAATTGCGCCGTACTCGCGCCGCCGAAGCCACAATCCATTGCAAATTGCACCAAATTCGCGCTGCCAAGGCCACAATCCAATCTAAATTTTACAAGATTGCGTCCCCGAGGCCACGACAGCTTGCAAATCATACCAGATTCGCGTCTCCGAGGCCACGAGCCTTTGAAAATCACGACATGGTCGCGTCCCCGAGGCCGCGATCGCAAGTAAATTACACCATGTTCGCATCCCCGGAGCCACGTCTTCTCGTAGCACACGCCGATGAACCCCAAGACCGTCCAAGCCGCGCAATCGTGCCCCACGTAGCCTCAGGAGCGCACAGTCGTTCCAAGCGGGCAGCCGATACAAAGCATGAGGGGAAGTTTGCAAAAGGCAGCACCGAGTTCAACGCTATCATCTGAATATCAATTCGTCTTGAAGACTACAAGCAGTCCTCGAGCGAGATTTCGATGCTGCTTCACGACGGCGCCCCGGACATCCCAACCTGGCTCCTGAATAGTTCGTTACGATGGAGAGGGGGCTGGCGGCAGAGGGCGAGCCGAGGCGTCAACAAGCGCGAGTCGAACAGAGATGCATTACAGACAGTGGCATACCCACATTATATAATGCGAACCAATGCAATGCAGCGAAGAGAATGTTCAGGATGGAGCGCCCACGCTGGCACTGGAATGCAGCGCAGTGCCATGGAAACCTCATGCGAGCGCCATGAGGCGAGAAGCATCGCAAGCAAAAGCTTGCAATCCAAATCAAAGAAACAGCCATGCGGTGCAACACAACTAAATGCAAAAAAGGGCAATGATCAAGCAGCGCAATGCCGTTTGCGGAGTCATGTCTGCGCACATCCGCCGGGCGACAACCAAGTGAAGCACAATGCAAAACAGTGCGCAAGAACGCAAGAGGCCGTACGAACCCGAGGGTTCTGGAACCTCAGCGATGCCAGAGATAAGGTGTGCAAAAAAAAGTGGATGCCCCCATTCCGCCGTCGGTAAACATCCATATGACGCTAGCGCACCAGCTTGTCGTTCTCCTCGTTCCCTTCCTCCTCCTCCTCCCTCTCGCAATCGATCCTCTGGTCGGGCAGCCGGCCCTGGCCAGCGACCGTTTAGATTGCCACTCAGAAGTCCCGCCAGCCCTCTGGGCGCAGGTGGTCTAACGATGTCTTTCTTCCCTCTTCCAAAAGCCCCTCCTCCCATTCGGAGAAGTGTTTATCACTGCTCCTTAATAATATACACGCCCTCCCCCAGGCGACCGGGGGCCAACCAGGCACCATGCCGACAAGATGACCACCTGCTCCCCATCATCCCTGTCAAAAAAGCAATACACACCGCACTCTGTATCCACATTTAGAGCATGCGCGGCCAACCCAATGCGGCCCTCCCCACCTTCCCTTCCAAAAACATGCAAAATACACTTTGGGGCAAAGTCTTGAATCATGCTCGTGAGGTCCGCGAGCACCTCGTCTTGTTTTTGACATGGACGGCGGGGGTGTCAGCATATTCCGTGCTGCGCGCAGGCTTACAATCCCCGACAAAAACAATACAACATGGACCTCGCGGCTAAATTTGGATCGTGCGCGGCCATCCCGCGATCACTGTCAAGGGGTTTGAACAGGGACGGCGGGGGTGGTTGCGCGTGGCCTGCTGTGCGCAGGCCCAGCAGACACAATGATGGGCATCGGTTTTCGACAAGGATAGCGGGGGCCGCAATGTTTCCCAATGTGTGTTGTCACGTACGCAGACGCACCTGACGCACTCTGCACGTGCTCCGAAGGCGGCGCACCTGCCGCGGCTGGAGTGTGCGGCACACTTGGCGCATTCGGAGCACGTGGCTCATCTGGCGCACCAGGCGTGCCTGGCAGGCTCGGGCCCGAGGGGTGCCTGGCGCGCGTGGCGCCCTTGGCACGCGTGGCGCACCTCGCCCAAACGTCGCGCACCTGAGGTCGGTTTTGGTTCACAGTAGCTGTCCATCCAAACACGACCGCTGAACATGTTCAGGCTCGGGTGTTGCTTATGTGTAGGGAGGGCGGGTGGGAGTGAGCGAGACGGCTTGCGGGCGGGTGGGTGTCTTGACCCCTCCCCGTACCCCCACCCCTGGGCCTGGATGGCGGGGGGCCGCGCGGTGTCAGAGGGTCCTTGTTGGCCCAGGGCGGCCTCAAGAGGGCCCAGGGAGCCCACGATGGCCTCCAAGATCGATCAAGATAGCCCAACATGGCCCGAGATAGCTAACAACATGCCTCCAATAGGCCCCAAGAGGGCCACAAGACGGATCCAAGTGCTGTTGGAGACCCCTCATGACTTCTCGAAGAGCCCAGATCTTTCAATCAGAGGCCGCAGCGTGGAATGGGGATTCCCCGCTGCAATGTCCCGGCGGAGAACCGCGAGTCACGCCCGGAGGCCGCGAGGAGGACATCCACCACCCTGGCATCCCCCTCCCCATCGTCGTCCTCCTCCTCCTCCTCCTCCTCATCCTCCTCCTCCTCCTGGCCATCCTGGTCCTCCTCCTCCTCCTCCTGTTCGTCCTCCTCCTCCTCCTTCTCGCGCCCGCGGGCGGTTTGAAATGTGTCGCCCAGTTGCGGTTGCAGTTGCGCGCCCGCGGGCGGGTCGAAATGTGTCGCCCAGTTGCGGTTGCGGTTGCGCGCCCGCGGTCGGGTCGAAATGTGTCGCCCAGTTGCGGTTGCGCGCCCGCGGGCGGGTTGAAATGTGTCGCCCATGTGCGGTTAAGGTTGCGCGCCCGCGGGCGGGTTGAAAAGTGTCGCCCAGTTGCGGTTGCGGTTGCGCGCCTGCGGGCGAGTCGAAATGTGTCGCCCAAATGCGGTTGCAGTTGCGCGCCCGCCGGCGGGTTGAAATGTGTCGCCCGGTTGCTGTTGCGCGCCCGCGGGCTGGTTGAAATGTGTCGCCCAGTTGCGGTTGCGCGCCCGCGGGCGGATTGAAATGTGTCGCCCAGGTGCGGTTGCAGTTGCGCGCCCGCGGGCGGGTTGAAATGTGTCGCCCAGGTGCGA